CTCTGGCTCTGGTGAATTCTCTCACCCTCCCACGCTTCTGACTGTACCCAGTGCTTGTATGTATACATCAATCAATCAATCAATCAATAAATAAATCTTAAAAAAAAAAACAAGAAAGTACTTGGCCTCATGTTACAATCCATTTACTAATTTATTTTAGCCAAAACTAGTGAGGACGACTATCACAGAAGAGACAGGAAAAGAAGTTTGGTACTCTTAAAGACTTCAAATGCCATGCTAAGATGTTTTAGTTCATCCTTCAGGAAAGTAATGGAGATGCAATGGAACATTTAAATCAGGGATTGCTATCAAGACTTCCTGTTTCAGAAAAATAAATGGCAGCAATTAAGAGGATCTATTAGATGGAGAGTATAGGTGGCAAAAAAACTGGATAAATTATTGAAAGAATATAGAAGTGGGATGATAAGGATGTGACTCAAGAAGCCAACAATGGAATGAGGCAGGAAAAACTGACGTGAGTAATTGCTTTGGAAGAATACTATAAAAAGGTACATAATAAAAGGAGAGTAAACCTGATTAATATTTGTATCCATTTACTTGGTTAGTGGGTAACTTTGAAATGTTACCAAGATATACAAATGCATATAGCCAATAAACAAGTGGAAAAACAGGCAAAGATTTTAGACAAGAGGTATATGCTGTAGAGACATATTTGAAGTTATGAAGAATTAAAATGATAGTTTTAATTTTGGGAGAGGGTAAGCTCACCCATGGAAAACAAACTTATCCACACAAAAGTCTAGGAACTGAAAAGATAATTTGAACTCCCTAGCAGGGTTCCTTAAAAACTTCATCTGTAGTTTAATCAAGATTCTATATACTTTTATTTTACTCTTAAAAAAGGAATACATGAGTATATATCAATGCATCTACCTAGTGTAGGAAAGAAGGTTCTTTCTCAAGGTGTGCCTGAAAAGAGCCAGCCGCCCCTCCATAAACACTCTAATAGTGGGCTTGCCAGGTCTCCTGCACCTGGCAATGTCCAGCTCAGCAAAGTTACCAGGAGGGTAGAGGTGACAGTTGAGAGGAAGAAGGTAGATCTACCTCTGAGCCAGATGCTCTGGAATCCACTCCCCTGATGTCCAAGCAGGGACTTCTGTGAACTGGGGGCCAAGCGTAGCCACCATATGAACTTTAAAATCAGGACAAGGCACAACTGCTCCTTTTTCCTCTTAGCCATGTGTGCAACAGCTTAGATCCAAGAGTTCTAGAAGGACACACCCTTCCACTTGCTGACTTCCTCTTGCCCTGTGGGCTCCCGAGAGGGCCTTCATCCATGAAGGAATGCCTCTAGCTGCCATCTTGCCACATGTGGGATAGGACTGAGCTGTTGTCTCTTTAGAAGGGATGTTTTTTGGGATAGCTCAGATAGCATCTGGCCACAGTGCTAACAATAATTTTTGTTCTCTTTTTTCTCTCTCTTGCTTTGAATCTGCTCCCCTTTCTTCACTCACTTCATGAATAAAACCCTTAGTGTTTCTCACTAAATGGCTCTTTTGGGGTCATTTTCTACATTCTTAAACAGGAGGGCGATGGCCCAGTAAGGGGGTCATCTCCTTTCCTCTGGCTTGCCTCATTTCACCAACATATTCAGTTAAAAAAACAACATGACAACAAAACTGTATGTAGTTCTAAGTAGAAAAATAAATTTCCTATAGTAACAATTATTCCTTTGCTCTATTATGTCCTTGTTGTTTTGTGACTTGATTTACTAAATTGTAAACCCACAATTCCACAAACTATAATTCCACAAAAATGCAAATTAAAAATGAATGAAGTATATATGCTGCACTATTAAATATGTTAGAATACAGAGGGTCACATAAGGTTATCCACATTTTATAACTTCAAGATTAGATTGCAAAACATTTTAAATTTACTTTGAGGCATTTGCAAGATATAGTGCATATTTTTTAATATATATCATTTAGCTTACCTTCAGGTAAATGCCTGATTATGAAATTTTATAGATAGGATATCAAGGATATAAGCTCTATGCCCCCATTATCCTTTTAGCCTCTTGTAGTGTTTCTCTGATTAAGTTTTAAGTGGCCAGTGAAGAGGGAACAGTCTGTACTCTAAAGAATTAATTTCAATATAACTGAAGTAAAAACAAATCAGAAAAGAAATCATTGCTCTTGGAGAATATGTATGTGTTTCCCTTGGCCTAAATATGGCGAGAGGATGATATATCAACATCTCACTTAACTATCCCTTCCAGTCACTGCTATTTTTCTATAGGTACTTCAAGACCTTAATTGAATTCTACATAGTTCTACATCATGTTACTTTGTTATTTTCTTTTTAATTTTTTAAGTGTTAGCCCCTATGGTTAGTGGTTCCACTGAGCAGAGAGTGTGCTAAGCTGATCACAGAGTAATCAACTAAAACAACAAGCCAAAAAATGAAAGAAGTTAAGTTTTTAATTGCTTGTTGTAATGTTATATAAGAAATCTAGTCAGGAGCTACCCTGGGGCCACAAGGGGTTAAGACGAAGCACTATGAAGGTATGTACAGCCACTGCAGCACAAGTTCGATCCCTGACCAGGGAGGTGACCCACATGGTGCAGCAGACCTCTCCTGTCTCACCCACTGCTCCCCTCAGCAGTGTTCTGCTCCCCACACTGTCCTGCTCCCTATTCTGTCTCTGATGAATCCTCTCACCCCCCCCCCATCTCTGGCCTGCACCCCATTCTTGTATGCATAAATAAATAAATCTTTAAAAAAAAATCTAGTCAGAGAAAACACTAACTCTCCCTTTCCCATTTTCACCCTGGACAGTTGAACAATTTGAAGGCTGGGTAGAGAAGAAGAGACATCGGGGTTATTCACTATTTAGGGAACCCCTAAGAAAGTCTCTAGTAGTTTTATGCACTGTGGTGATGGGGGGCAGGATACAGGGGAAAGCCAGGAGTAGAAAAGTACTGGTACTAACTCAGAGTGGGGTAAAGTGTCTTCAAGACTATACTTCCTCCCTTATAGAGGGCCTCTGCTCAAGGCCTGAGATAAGCAGAACTAGGAATGAAGGTATAGAAGTTTCAATGTATATATGGGAAGAGACTGACTAGTGAGGCGAGCTTGAATCCTTGACTGCTACTCTCTTCAGAAACTGCTATGTCCAGGCGTGCAAGCCTGCATGGGAAGGGTAGATTTGCCGTGAGGCCCAGGTGGAGCTTTTACCATGCCTGTGATGACGCCTAAAAATCACAAAGATTTTTAACATGGAGCTAGGTTCCTCACCATGTCTATATTTCTAGAATGTTATAAAAAAATTCTTTGCTTTCTTTGACATGAAACCAAGTGACTTATAATTAGGCTAGAGTTGTATTATGTGTCTAACCGAGTTCAGCATGACTACTCTACAAATTCCACCTCTTCTTGATAACTTGACTACAAATTCCACCTCTTCTTGATAACTAAGTAATAAATATTTTGAAATAGATACTTTTTTATTAGTGTTTCAGGTATAAAATAGATATATAAAGGTCACTTTTTATATCAATCAATGCATGGCTAATAAACAAGTATGTATCACATAATTTAGCCATTCTAGTTCTTTTCTTAAAAGCATTTTATGTTTCTCATTTATTTGTAAGGGAAAAATAAAATATAAAAATATACTAAATGCTCCTATTTTAGCATCCACTAAAATAAGAACTTTAGATAAAAAGTAATAGCATTATACTAATTTGTGGCAAATTTACATTGTTCATTAGTTATCTAATAGCCAATTAATGTAACCTGAAGCAGGACAAGAGAGATTGCAAAAATACACTATCATGGATTGCTGATTTGTGGAGCACATGCCATGTGCACTCTTTGTGTGTTTTCCCATAGCAATATTTACGGTATGGCTCTAAGTTCTAAGCAAGAGAACTGCACAATAACATCACAAACTGCAGCCTATATAGCATATTTTCTGTACTTCTTGATATTGCATTGTCTTTTGTTAAAAGACAGGCCCTATCCTTTTATTTTTCTTTTGTTCTGTTAAAAAACTAGAGCTGGATTAAAAAAAGATAAGCACATGCAATTTGCAGCAACATGGATGGCGCTGGAAGGGATCATGCTCAGCGAAATAAGCCAGAAAGAAAAAGAAAAATACCGGATGGTCTCACTCATAGCAGGAATCCAGAAACCTAAATAAGGGACCAGGAAAAAGAATAACTATAAGAAAGAAAAAATCAAAATCAGCAAACAACTATGAACCAGAGACACATGGGGGGGTGGGGCGGGGTGGGGGGAAGGAGGGATTGGGGTCAAAATAAGGGGGTTACAATTGTATGGGGAATATAATAATAAAATTAAAAAAAATAATTGCTTAAATTGATTACATGTTGAAATGACAATATTTTAAATGTTATATGAAATAAAATATATTATTGGAAAAAAAAACCTAGAGCTGGAACAAGATTGTTACAGAGAAGAGTCATAGGGAGGGAAATAGTTGATTGACTATCGCTTACATGGTTAAATTATTTGTCCTTAAATTTTGAATTCTCAATCTTTTTTTTTAAAGATTTATTTTATTTATTAATGCATAGAAGAGCTGGGGTATAGGCCAGAGGTGCAGGGGTTGTGGTGAGGGTGAGAGGATTCACCAGAGACAGATTGGGGAACAGAACAGGCAGATTGACTGAAATACACTATGAGGGGAGCAGCAGGCAAGACCTGAGAGGTCTGCTGAGCCATGTGGGTAGCTCCCTGGCAGGGGATCAAACTCCTGCTGCAGTGGCTGCCTGATAGTTTCATTGTGCTGAGACTTAACCCCTTGTGCCACCAGAGAGGTCCTGATTTCTCAAGCTTAAGGCATTATAGGTTTTGATTTTGATTTGCTTACACAGACTGCTAAGATAATAGAATTTCTCAGTCTAATGGGCTCCTTGTTTAGTTCAACAGTCTCATTAATACTTTTCATTTTGAATTAAATTTTACCTAATTTTTAATTGTGATCCCTGCTTTTGTTAGTTTTCAATTACCTGAAAGGTTTTCCTCCATCTTATTTCTGGGTTTTGGTGTTCCTCTGTTCTTGACTACGGCCATGAAGAATTCAAATCTACATTTAGGCAAAGCAATGTTTATTAGTCACAATAAAAATTAAAAAAAAAAAAAAGAGAATGTGTGTCCTTTACCCCTTATAAGTTACATACTTGGGCATACTTTTTGAATTGTATTATGTTCAAGATACAAACAATAACGTGAATGGACTCTAAAAAAAAAAGTACACCTGGTATGAAAACTGGGTGGGCAAAGTTCTTGCCCACCCAAACAACTAGGAGGAATGATGGGGAACTCCGTGCATAAATGGGGTACAGTGGGCCACTCAATCTATCCCTTTCTGGGGGTTACTGTGCAGGTTCTTCAAGAGTCTTGGTTTATTGGATTAGGCAAGAGTTTATAAGTAGTTTTATCAGCTCCTAAGCAGGTTGGGGTGTGAGTCTCTGCTTTTCCCCTTTTATAGGCCTGCCTGTAGGATAAGCATTTCTTTGGTCTCCGTGGGTTTTACTGGCTCTGGCACGTATGCCTTGGGTCCTGGGGTCCTGGTATATTGTCCTTTAATTTTATTAGGAATCGGCCTCCTTGATCTAACTGCCTAACAGTTCCTTTGTTTCCATTTTGTTATTAGTATTCAGATTTGCTTATAATAGAAACTACATAGATAGAGTTTGTATAATTAACACAATCTTAGAGTCTAGATCATTTAACAGGGAAATTATAACTTTAAAAAAATCATTAATTGATAATATTGCCTAGTATTTGTCTATAATACTGTTTTGATTTTTTTTTTTTTTACTATTTTACCTTTTTTATCACAGCTTAATTATACACACATGCCCATGTGCAGAATAAGCTTAGGTCAGAGGAAACCTCCAGGAGGAAGGCTTCCTGGGGACAAATGTCTGAGGTTATGAACCCAACCTCTGATTTCTGAGATATCTGTGAGATGTTGGTTCAACTATGGTTGCATATTCTTGTGGGACTCCTCTATATTCCACATTAACAATAATTATAATAACTATTAGGTATATAGTTCCATCATAGGAGCACAGCTCCACATCCTTAGCTTGGGGAAAGGATCACTATCATTCTTATATCATAGATGAGGGAGCTGAGACACCCCTGGGGTCACTTGGATTAAGAGAGTACTCGAGGTTTTGGGCTCAGATATGGCCTAAGATTCCAGGTATTTTATTTTTTTTAATATTTTTCTACATTTTTATTTTACTTCCATCAAACATCCATGCTCATACCCTATTTGCCTTCCTACCCTCAACTCTCTTCCCTGTTCCCTCTGGTAACCATTATTTTCATTTTGCCAAATTCAATTTTTATTCTTACTATCTATATATTTTGGGGGGGTATTTATATTATATAAATAAAACCATATAATACCTGCCCATCTTTTGACTTGTTTCACTCAATATAATCACCTTGATGTCTACCCATTCTGTCCCAAATGCCACTGTTTCATCCTTCTTTACAGCTGTGTAATACTCCATTTTGTATATGTTCCATGTGTACTACAATTTCTCTATCCATTCAACCATTAGCAGGCACTTGGACTGGTTCCATGACTTGGCAATTGTGAACAGTGATGCTGTGTACACGGGCACAGGTAAATCTTTTCATATTAGAGTTTTCATATTATTTGGATAAATACATATATTAGGATAAACTGCTGGGTCATACAGAATTTCCATCTTTATTTTTTTAAGAAATCTCCATACCACTTTCCACAGGGGTTGTACCAACTTGCATTCCCACCAACAGCTGATGAGAGTTCTATTTCTATGTTCACTGCAACCTTGTCAATATTTGTTAATTCCTTTTTTTTTTTTTTTTTTTAGATGGGCCATTCTCAGGGATGAGGTGGTATCTTAGTATGGTTTTAATTTGCATTTCCCTTATAGTAAGTGATCATTTAACATTTTCTCATATGTATGTAGGCCACCTGAATGTCTCCTTTAGAGAACTGTCTATATTAGGCCCTCTGCCCATTTTTAATTGGTCATTTGTTTCTTTGTTGTTACATTGTGTAAGAACTTGTAAATTTTGGAGATTAACCTTTTGTCAGATGTGTGGTATGGAAATATTTTTTTCCATTCTTTAGGTAACAGTTTTGTTTTTCTGATGGTTTCTTTTGAGGTATAAAAACTTTTAAGTTTGTTGTAGTTTTACCTGTTCATTTATTGCTTTTGTTTCCCTTCCTGGCTTTGTAATTTGGGGATTGTGCCTGATTCGCTTCAACTTCCACACTAATATGGAAGTTCCACAATTCTTTTCAGGGTTCACCAGTGTGTATCTTCTGATATAACCTGAATGCTACTGAAGACAAACCACTTATGAGTGTAGTCTAGAGACACAAGTATAAAGACAATAAAAGAAGGAACGAGACAGGAAAAGAAAAGGAATTGCCCCCAGATCCTTGACAAATGATGAAATGGAAGATGTATACTTCTTCTACCAAAATTTGTTTTTAAAGTTTGCTCCATGAAGTTCAACTCACCACAGCTCTGTGATACTGTGTGATTCTGTGATCTGTGATACTGTGCAGGTCTCAAGACAGGGATAGAGGCAGGAAACCTGCACACAAAACAAGAGACTGTAACCAACTACAAGAAATAATAACACAGAGGCCTCCCCGGTGGCGCAATGGGTTGAGCGCAGCGCTGTGAAGCTGTCTGCAGCCTCTTCAGCGCCGGTTAGATTCCCAGCCGGCCAGGGATTCCCACATGGCGCAGCAGACCTCTCCTGTCTGGCCGGCTGCTCTTCTCAGCAATGTACTTCAGCCCTTCTGTCTATTCTGCTCGCTGCTCTGTCTCTGGTGAATTCTCTCACCCTCCCGGGCCTGTGGCCTGTACCCTACTACTTGCATAAATAAATAAATCTTTAAAAAAAAAAGAAATAATAACACAGTGATCTTCTTTCTTTCTCAATCAATAACCCATCATCTCACTTCATCAGTATTTAGCAGTAACTGCAGCAAACTGGCTCCATCACCCTAAACCTTTGCCAAAATTGCGTTGGCAAGAAAATAAGGCAGGTGTAGAGAACTGTATCATACCAAAACAAATTGTTACATCTTCCACCCTAAATAGTCCTACTTCACAAGATCCACATTTAAATAACTGCTTTGAACCCAATGCAAAAATGTTTAACTTCCTCAATCCCCTCTTCTGTGTTAATATTTATGTTTTTATTTTTACACATTTCTCTCCACATTACCTCTTCAACTCAAGAATTATCAGAGTAGCAAGATGTTTTCCAAATGTTTCTTTTGTTTGCCCAATATTTGCATATGAATTCCAAGCCATGTAATTGCTATATATTTATATGTAATATTAATTCTAGTATTAATGTATAATTTAATTTATTTATTATAATTTATTTATTTATTATAATTTATTTATTTATTTATACAAGCACTGGGGACAGTCAGAAGCGTGGGAGGGTGAGAGAATTCACCAGAGCCAGAGCAGGGAACAGAACAGGCAGACTGACGAAATTCACTGCTGAGGGGAGCAGTGGGTGGCAGGAGAGGTCTGCGGGCCATGTGGGACCGGCTGGGGATCGAACCCGCGCTGCAGAGGCTGTCGGCAGCTTTGCAACCCAGTGCTCAACCATTGCACCACCGGGGAGGACCCTTAATTTATCATTTTAATTCAATTATTGACTTGATAATAATTTCTTAGTTTTCTTCCTATTTCTACAATTCCTTTATTGTTCTGCTATAAACTTTGTAGTGCTTTCTTATATTTTCAAATCGGATATACAAATTTATACTGTCTGTGTTTGGTTTGTTTTGTTTCCTTTATATCATTTGCTTTTTGGTGAGATTCTTCAAATGGAGAGTACAATTTTGATGTTTTTTTTTACTAATATCTCCTTTTTCCTCATATTCCTTTTAGAGCTTGAATTACGTATGTATGAGCTCTTTGGAGTACTAAACCAGGACACCTAATTTCTTTCATTTCTATTTTATAACATAGAAGAAAATGGCACATGTTTTCCATGGTATCAGCCTGGTACCTGGGACCTTCACAGCTGACCAAGTGTTTATGGGGAATCAATATTTCAGTACACATACACCTATCAGCTGCTCAAAGACTTCATAAAGTCCAGTAAGTGGGAAATTTTGTTCTGAAGTTCTTATGATATTCATATTTCTATTTCTTTCATTTGGTGACATTACTTTTCTCAACAGTGATAGAATTTTTTTGGTTTGTTTATACAGTGATTACTTTGAATTTATAGAGCATATTTTTTGAATCCCAAAGCATTTTGGAGGAGTGGGGGTAACTCTAAGTGCTTCTCTTCAAAACTGTTGATATATTCTAGAAATCCTCATCTACTTCCTTCATCAATTTTGACTCAGCAAATTCCATTGTCTATCCCTCATGTTACTTATCCCTCATGTTACTTTTATGATTTGTACATATCTTTGTATTACTTAGTTTGGTGCTCCCAAAGCACTCATTAGGGTTATCCTGTTGGTGTCTCTAACACAATGGCAAACTAACAAGTGGAAAAAGCCACATATTTCTGTTGTAGCTGGTCAGGCAATTTGGCTCTCTGCTGAGGCACAAAGAGAAGATTTCTCAGATCTTTCTGAAGCAACATGCAAACTTTTCCCAGTTACATGGAACATTCACCCCAGAGTACATTCCTGTTGTAAATCTACTAGGCTTAAATTATGATCACTTGTAGCAAGGTGAATGCAAGTTGCATCTACGGTCCCTTGAAAATAGCTGAAAGCCCATTTTACCTCAACATTTTTCTCTGATATCAGCAATCAATTCAACTCTTTTTAATGTAACCTCTTTTTTTTGGAAATTACCATATTATAGTGGTGTATTTCATGAAGTCTTGTCCCAAATAACCAAATTTTTTCCTCACATAAAGATGTTGATAGATTAGTTCCATAAGTTCATTATCTAGAAAGGAAGCTATCATGTAAATGAAATATTTAGTTTTAGTGGAAAAATATAGTGGAAGATTGAACAAGAAACAAAGGAGTAATTAATTGTGAGGATGGGTCAGAATAATCTCTATTAACAAAATGTCATGAGTTTTGAAGAATAAGTATAAGTAGGATTTTTTAAGGAACAAAATTTTAAATGATATTTATATTATTAATATTAATGACAGTAGTATTAGATGATACATTTTAGATGAAGGATATCATCAAATATAGATATATGTGCAAATAATATTAATTATCTTAGTTAAGTTGTGTTATACTTAGCAGAATATTTTAAAAGTCCCTGCATTTCTATTCATTTATTAATATATAAATAATTCTACATTAAGTAACCAATAACTATATTATTGACTTAATTCATAATTATTATATATTTCTAGCTATGTAGAAATGTTTTATAGGATCTATGAATACTATAAATTTCCTCCTCCAGATTTCTATGTAAATCATATAGCGAAAATTATATGAATGATAATGATAAATGCAGTGCTTGATATATACTTCCTTATTAATATGCTGACTGATAAGGATTATATATTGTTTCCATTATTTTAGGCTATTTTGACAGTTTCCCAAATATTTTAATACATTTTAATTTTTTGACTTTCAGGAACTATATTAACTGGGTAAAATATTCTGACATTGAATAGATCAACTGATAAATTATAGATTAAATTCATAGCATATTTATTTGGTAATTTCTCCTGCTAGCATTTGGTGTTTGATAGCTTGTTACTCTGGAAATGAGAAAGTTTTCCTGGAAAAAAAAGGATGTTGCTATTCTCTCCTCTATACAAGTGTGGTTATAGATAAAGGAATAGCCAAAGTAAGTATGAATGGGGAATCACTATGTAGCAGGGGGTGACCGGGTTGCATGTATGTTTATGAACCTATAAAGTCTTGGATATAGTTTCTTGGCTATCCTCATTATTACAGACAAGACAGAGGAGAAATTACCTTTAGTGTGTTGTTTCAGAGCATGAATCACATTTTACAAGCCATTCTTGTCAGACTATAATGTAAACTGATCTTCTAATAAGACACTGTGTCCTTCTATCTAGTTCAGTGAAGTGCACAATGTTTTGAGCTTTAATAGAAAATGATTATATTTTCCTGTGGTGACCTTTTAACCTAAACAACAGTCTAAGTTCACCTGTATGTTTTGCTGGTATGTCTTTTAACATTGTTTTCAAGGAATAAAGGGTATTGCACAAAGCTTTATTACACCATATTCCCATTATAAAATAATAGCAATCTTCACAATATAAATAGTGTGTGACTGCCTAGGGCACTAATGTGAATGACCGGGGAGTAAGGTAGCATCTATCTCATCCTGAACACCTTTCTATACTATATAAATATAGTAAGACTAGCTTTCCTTTTGTTTTCTAATAATTTTTAAAGTTGAGTCCTTTGCAGTTCCTTGAAAATGATCATACTACACTTCAGTGTTTTTGACAAGGAAAGTAACTTATATATAATAATGTTTTTATATATTCCAATTTGATAAAGATTATAAGACATTTCTTATTTGTAGGAAATGTAGTTTAACTCTATAACATGCACATATAACATTAAAACCTAGCTATCTATATAGGTATGCATTTAGAGCAACAGGAATTACGACATGAAAACAACATATAGGAAATGTAAAAATTAATTCCTAAATAAAATATATTAGTTTTCTAATGTGCTTGATATGTTTACTCTTAAAAGTTTCAAAAAAATTCTTTAAGATTTTATGTGTATTATTGTTATTTAAAATGCATTTTCTTAAATATATGACATTATACCAACACCCTTTTTTTTTTCCTACAAATTCCAAATTAAGAGTGCCTAAGTGGGGCTTCCTCTGGTGGCGCAGGCAGTTGAGCGTCACACTGTGAGGCTGCCCACAGCCTCTGTAGCACCGGTTCGATCCCAGGCCATATTTCAGTCAATCTGCCTGTTCTGTTCCCTATTCTGTCTCTGATGAATCCTCTCACCACCCCCCCACGCATCTGGCCTGTACCCTGGTTCTTGAATTCTTTTGGCCTGTTATATCACCATATGAATGAGACAACTTCTTTATCTGTTGTAGTCCTGATTTCTACTATCAGGAATACAAAAAGCAGTAATTTGTTAACAAACTCTATAAAGCATTCATAAAAATGATTTAGAGTGACTCTTTAATTTTAGTTGCCCCTCCCTTAGACTTTTTTTTAATTGGTTTTAAAGCAATTCTCATTCTTGTTTATACACTTTCATCTGCATACACCAAAGTAATGTGATTGTACTCCTGAGTATAGATCAGAGTTGAAATCTCTTGGTGTCTAAAAACAACAAACAAACCTATGTTAAACTCACTAAATTGGCAGAAGTTTATGTTACTTTAATGTTTAATGTATTTGTTAGTTTAATGTATCTAACTGATTATAAATAACACATAAATTTGATTGTTTCATTAAAATAACACCAGAATTTTTGATTCTAGAGTTGCTGATTCTCAAATACAGTTGTGAAATAACATTGGCTTGTTTAGGTTATTCCACTCTGTACATTTGTTCATTTTAGGCAATATCAAGCCATACTATGGCTGTTGAATGCATCTCCTATATC